ATATTGGGTTTCTGTCGTGATGGACTCTTGTGACGAGCCGATTGACAGATGATGGAAACAGTTAGCTTCCTCCCATAATTGGGGCTTACCAGGGGTTGTAAAAATCTATATACATATACATACATACATACATACATACACATACATACATACACATACATACATACACACACATTACATACACATACACACATACACATATACACACATACACACACACACACACACTCTTTATTTACGGTCATAGACCAAAATATAAAGATTGGAAATAAATAGATTCTGGGATTTTTAAATTTAGGATTGCTTAACTGTAGTCTATTATATCAGCCTAAATTCATATTTCTAAAAGTTGAAAAAAAAAAGAATTGGCATAGTTGAAACTATTCTTTCAGGATAAAATGCCAACAAAATTTGCTGATATAGGCTTCATGTTTTGCATTGTAGTTTTAATTCCCACAAAAAAAGTTACTGTTTACCTTGGATTTATTACCTGTGCATTCTTTTGCTGATGTACAAAGGAACTCAAAGAAGCTACAGTAATCTGTTTCCAGGTTCTTGCGATAATCTGTGCCACTTTTCACAAGAACACAAATGAGCTTTTGTATTATCTCCATTTGCTTCCATTGCTTCCATTGCGAAGGTCAATACCTTCTCATTAATTTTATGGCCTTTGAAAACTTTCTGTCTCTCAGCCTCACTTGTCTTATCAGCCGCCTACTTTGAAAATCATTAAGCATTTACAATTGTAATATATATTTTTGTAGGTTAAATCACCGGGAGCTCCTTAGGTATATTTTATAGAAGAATATAAAGTTATAGACTGAAAAAAGAAAAAAAATATTAAAATACAAAATATACTGAATAAAAAGCCTAGTCATAGCTTTTTTGTGTATTCAGTGTACCTTTGTCAGGTCTCAACAGTTTCTGATCACTTATTGCTATGACCCCAAATGTATCCACCTTTGTGGAAATTTTGCAGTCTTTGTCCTTCCCTAGAGAATTGTCTTTTGGAATCAATCCCAGTAACTTGTGATTAGAGAAGAGATTGCCTGCATCTCCCAAGGCTTTGCCTTATCCCAGAGTACTACATAATGAGGCAAGAGGCCCCAAAGGACCAGATCAGAGTCTATTTGCTTCCTCCACCGCAGATTATAACAATATA